AATATGCCACGCAGCCGCACTAGGAGATTCAGAGAATGGGTAATTTTTGTTGCAACCCACGCGGCCGCGCTCCATTTCTGCGCGGTCCGCGCCAGTGAGATTCAGAGACCCACCAGTGAAGGCTAAAGGCCCACGCGGCCGCGCTACATATCAGTGCGGTACGCGTGGATGAGAATCAGAGAGCTGGAGATTTGGCCAAGTCAAGCCACGCAGCCGCGCTGCTTTATTGCGCGGTCCGCGCCATCTTCCACCGCGGCCGCGCTATATTTCTGTGCGGTCCGCGGTCCCCAACTTCAGAGACGAGATTCAGGAGTCCAAAAAGCTGACGCGACTGCGCTACCTTTTTGCGCGGTCCGCTGACCCCGCAGGGGTATTTTTGTCCAAGTTTTTCAGCCACTATAAATAGATCCTTTTTCCATTTTTAGGTTAAGTTTTTTATCAGATATCAAGCTGCGCTCGTGAGAACTGAAGTTTTAGCCTATTTTGGCATTTTAGCATTAATTTCTCAATAGATTCTTGTAGTTTCTCATCAGTAATTATTTATTATGTTTAATTCTTCTTCTAATTCTTCTGTTTCTTCTCTAATTATGTCTAGCTAAACCCATTAGCTAGTGTTGTGGCTCAACCCTAGTATGGGTAATTGATGGGTGTTGCCATCTAAGGTTAGGATGATATTGGGTGTTCGCTATTTGGGTTAATTTTAGGTTTTAATTAAGAATTGGTTGTTGCAAACACTGATTCGAGCTTTGTGGGTTTAACTCTTCTTGAGAAAGAGAGTCCATGACCCCAAAATTGACCCAACAAGGAATTGGGATGGACCCATGAGAAATGGTAGTCCCAATTAACGGGTTAAATCTCGAGAGAGTAATCACCCTACTTGAACCCTAGTTGCTAGGTCTAATTGGCCTACCCAATTGGTCTCGAGAGAGTCAATTGGGCAAAATCACTCTCTCTACCGAGAGGTGTGAGAGTGGGTACAATTGTGCAACGGTTATAGCATAAGCCCCAAATATATCAACTTATCCTTAGTATCATATACCCGTTGGTTAGCCACCTAGGTAATACCACGACCCTAGTGCCTTTCTCTATATTAATTACAACTTAGCAATATCTCCATAGCATAATTTAGCTTCATTAGTCTTAAAGTAGAAGATATAAAAATCAAAACCAAAAATGTTAGAAGTGATATTAGAAGCACAACCACAATTCTAGACTAAGCAGATAATACAACTCCCCCCCCCCCCAGCTACCTGTGGAAAATCGATCCCGATCCCGATCCACTATCGGGTAAAAGCTGTTGCAACCCGCTCTTCCTACCTTAGTGTAGTGTTGAGTCGGCAGCGAACAAGTACCTTCGTGGATTTCTCGTAGAACATAACCGGTGTCCCCCGGCCCTAAATATACCGCTAATGGTCCATCAAATGTCCTCCTATACAATGTTCCATCTTCATCTAATGTGAACCTAGCAGCCTTGGTTCGTAGGGCCCTCGATTCTTTGTGGTCCGATGGGAGTTTTCCATTTTTCAAATAATCGATATACGTATTCCTCCAATCCCAAGTTAAACTTGTATAATTTATCCCGGCATGACCCTCTTCAACCACAGACCTCGATAATTGGACGACAGTCCCCGGGACAAAATCATCTTCTTCAACTGAGGATCCCACATTAGCAAGTGCATCGGCCTCACTATTTTGTTCTCGAGGCACATGATCCAGAGTCCACTCCTTGAAGCGGTGCAAGGTTACTTGTAGCTTATCCTAGTGTCGTTTCATCCTATCCTCTCGAACTTCAAAAACTTTTGTTTACTTGGTTTACCACCAACAATGAATCGCACTTGGCTTCAATGACATCTGCCCCCAAGCTCTTAGCTAGCTCGAGACCTGCAATCATAGCCTCATACTCGGCCTCATTATTAGTCAACCTAGAAGTTTTGATAGATTGTCTAATGGTACTACCTGTAGGTGGCTTCAAGAGAATGCCAAGCCCGGACCCTTTTACATTCGAGGCACCATCCGTGAAAAGGGTCCATACCCCCGATGATGTACCCGATCTTAGCAGGAGTTCTTTCTCCACTTCGGGTATGAGGGTCGGCGTAAAATCGGCCACAAAGTCAGCTAGGATTTGAGACTTGATGGCCTTTCGGGGTTGATATTCGATATCGTACCCGCTAAGTTTGATGGCCCATTTGGCCAATCGGCTCGATTGTTCGGGCTTATGCAAAACATTTCGAAGGGGGTAAGTGGTTAATACACATATGGGATGACACTGAAAATATGGATTTAGCTTTCTAGATGCGCTTATCAATGCAAGTGCTAATTTTTCTAAGTGAGGGTATCTAGTTTCAGCATCTCCTAGTGTTCGGCTTGCATAATAAACACGGAATTGCGTACCTTGCTCTTCTCGAGCTAGTACCCCACTTACCGCTATCTCGGATACTGCCAAATATAAGTAAACCTTTTCATCTACCTTCAGGTTGTGAAGCAAAGGCGGGCTCGATAAGTACCGCTTCAATTCTTCTAAGGCTTGCTAGCATTCCTAGGTCCACGCGAAATCCTTTTTCTTTTTGAGCAAGGAAAAGAACCTATGACTTCGATCTGATGACCTCGAAATGAACCAACCCAAGGCGGTTATTCGTCCTGTTAGCCTTTGCACGGCCTTCACACTATCCACGATCTTGATATCCTTGATGGCCTTGATCTTGTCGGGGTTGATTTCGATACCCCGATTCGATACCATGAAGCCGAGGAACTTACCCGAGCCGACCCCGAAGACACATTTTTCTGGGTTAAGCTTCACGTTGTACTTAGTCAAGATTTTGAATGTTTCCTGCAAATGAGTTAAATGATCCTCTGCGCGCAGGGACTTAACCAACATATCATCAATGTAAACTTCCATCAACTTACCTATTTGTTCCTCGAACATCTTGTTAACTAGGCGTTTGTATGTAGCTCCAGCATTTTTTAGTCCGAAGGGCATTACATTGTAATAGTACGTTCCAAACTTAGTGATAAACGAGGTCTTTTCCTGGTCCTCCAGGTTCATTTGAATTTGATTGCACCCGGAGTAGGCGTCGAGAAAAGTAAGGATCTCGTGGACGGTCGTGGCATCAATCATACGATTGATGTTGGGCAATAGGAAAGAGTCTTTTGGTCATGCTTTGTTTAGATCTTTGTAATCTACGCACATTCTAAGTTTGTTTCCTTTTTTAGGAACTACAACTACGTTGGCTAACCATTCAGGGTATTTTACCTCCCGAATAGACCCTATTTTAAGAAGTTTGGTTACCTCGTCCTTTATGAATGCATGCTTCACCTCGGACTGGGGCCTCCTTTTTGGCTTTACCGATTTGAACCCGGGGTCGAGGCTTAGCCGGTGTGTTGTTATTTCCGGTGGAATCCCTGTCATATCTAAATGGGACCAAGCAAAGCAATCCATATTATCAATAAGAAATTGAATGAGTTTTTTCCTAAGTTCGAGGGTTAATCTCGTTCCCAGATATACCTTTCTCTCGGGCATGTATTCGATCAGTTTGACCTGCTCCGGTTCCTCGACCGCTGACTTGGTTGCATCGGACTCTTCGGGATCGATGAAAGTTCAAGGAGTAAGGAAATCCTCTTCTTCGTCTTCGATTACCTGTTGCTCCGATTCCGTCGAGAATGGGGACGGTGATTGCTATTTAGCCATCTGCTTACCTTTGGTGTTCGACTTTTCCAAGGTAGAAGGCTCTAGTATCGACATCACTGCATTGACTGCAAACATTTCCTTTGCAGCGTGTTGCTCTCCGTAAATCGTTTTCACACCATCCTCTGTTGGGAACTTCATCATCTGATGAAGAGTTGAAGGTATTGCCCTCATGTTGTGTATCCATGGTCTCCCAAAAAGTGCATTATATCTCATGTCGCCTTCGATGACATGGAATTTTGTATCTTATATGGTCCCGGCTACGTTCACTGGTAGGATTATCTCCCCCTTTGTTGTTTCGCTTGCCATGTTGAAGCCATTTAGGACCTAGGATGTAGGTACAATTTGATCCTGTATGCCGAGCTGTTCTACGACCCTCGATCTGATTATGTTTGCTGAGCTACTTAGATCCACTAGAACACGTTTAACTTGAATTTTATTTAACAAAATAGAAATTACCAGGGCGTCATTGTGCGGCTGAGATATGCCTTCCGCTTCCTCGTCATAGAAAGATAGGATGTCTTCGGGCACATAGCTCCGAGTCCGTTTTACTCTAGTGATAGACACCTTGGTGCGTTTGAATACAGGTCCTTGTGGGACATCAACACTGCCAACGATCATATGGATTACATGTTGTGGTTCTACCTGCTCATTTTTTCTGCTCGCATCTCTCTCCCTGAAGTGATTCTTAGCTCGAACACTGAGAAATTCTCGAAGGTGCCCCTCGTTGAACAACCGAGCTACCTCCTCCCGGAGTTGCCTGCAGTCTTCGGTTCTATGGCCATGTGTGCCATGATACTTACAAATCAAGTTTGGATTCCTTTGAGAAGGATCGGTTTGTATAGGCCTTGGCTATCTGGTGTCTTTGATTCTTCCAATAGCTGACACGATCCCCGATGCATCTACACTGAAATTATACTCCAACAATCGAGGTGCCTCCGTGGGGTCGGTATGTTTATCGAACCCATTCTTACTCATGATTCCCCGAGAGCACTGACCTCAATCATTTCTCCGATCATTCCGAGGAGCGTTACGACCCGAGCCGTTGTTTCTCCGATTGACATATGGCTGATATTGTTCCTTGTTTGATCTTGATTCCCTATCTGTATCCCTCGGGGGCTTGGCTGCCAATCTATTAGGATGAATTGAACCCGAGGGGGCTCCCAACCGGTCGTCCTCGACCCTGATCTTTGATTGATAACGATTATGCACGTCTGACCACGTCACAACCGGATACTCGATCAGATTCTGCTTTAATTGTCAATATGCGATCGAACTTCAATCATTCAAACCCTGCATGAAAGCCTGTACTGCCCAGTCATCCAAGACCGGGGGTAATTCCATTTGCTCTATCTGAAAACTGGACACAAACTCCCTTAACATCTCGCTGTTCCTCTGTTATCTTAAAAACATCTGATTTCCTTGTTTCCACCTTTATGGCTCCGGCGTGTGCCTTCACGAAGGCGTCTGCTAACATAGCAAACGAATTGATAGAGTTCGGGAGCAAGTTGTGGTACCAAATCATGGCTCCTTTCGATAAAGTTTCCCCAAATTGTTTCAACAATACTGACTCGATCTCATCATCATTCAGGTCGTTTCCTTTAATCCCTCAAATATATGAGGTAATATGCTCATTAGGGTCGGTTATCTTGTTATACTTGGGTATATCGGGCATGCGGAACTTTCTAGGAATGGGCATCGGAGCCGCGCTCTGAGGGAATGGTTTTTAGATGAACATTTTGGCATCTAAACCTTTCAAGACCGAGGGTGCCCCCGGTATTTGATCAACACGGGAGTTATAAGTCTCTACCTTTTTGTCATTGTCCTCAATCTTCTTTTCCCCGGACTCGATCCTCTTGGTGAGCTCTTCGAGCATCCTCATAATGGTGGGGTCAGTCCCCGAGCCATTTTTGTTTGACCTCTCTAGTGCCGGTTCAATACGTCGAGTGTTTTCCGGTTCAGCTATACTCGGAGTTTTATTCTGACTTTGAAGTTGAGCGATGGCAATCTGTTGAGCTTGCAGCATCTTGAATATCACTTGGAGGCTGACTCCTCCATCTCTTATACCTTGTGTTCCTTGGCCCCCAGATCGGGCTTCCCTGCGTACACTTCCTCCGGGGTCTGCGCCTAAATCTGCATTCAAAGCAATGTGTGAACTAACATCAACTGGTTCCACATTTGGCACTTCCACAGGGTTTATCCGTGGTACACCGACCCCTACATTGTTGTTTTCCCCATGAAATCCAAGACCTTCGTCGTCATGAACAAGTGCGTTTTGGGAGTTTGACATGTTTAATCCTGAGAACAAAAAATTTTGACAAGAACAAGTGTGAAAATAACGTCTGTTATCAGAATCAGTACTGAAATAATCACTATTATCTTTAGCCCCACGGTGGGCGCCAAACTGTTACCTCAAAAATACGAGTAACAATTAAATTTGATTTATGGTTTTAAAGATACGTGATTTAGTTCAATACTAATTAATAACCAAGAAATATGAAGTATAGATGAAAGAAATAAGTAAGATCAAACCAGTAGATAAGTCAATCTCGACCTCGAGCCCAAGTGACATCGAGATTGGTCAAGAACAATAAAGCAAGGATGATAAAGCTAAAGGACAATTCTGATGAACAATGAGCGAGAAAAGTAAGAGAGTATATTTTTTGCCATTGATTAGATGATCTTTACCAATGATTGGGGTCCCTTTTATATAATAGGGGACCCTAAATAAGGTACATTTCCATTTACAGTAAAGAATCTTATTGGGACAGCTATCTAACCGCCTAGTACGGATTCGTACAAATCTATTTCGGAATTTACGCCATGATTTTAGGGACGTGGAATCTTGCTCATTTTGTTACAAATCCGTAACGGCATTATCTTGGGGTTGAGCATACTAAGCTCTGATACTCATCGTACTTCGATCATCGGGCATTGCACTCTGTCTTCGAGCTCGAGTCTGGTCCATCGAGCTCGAACTCGATCTTGCCTGAACTCGGGCTTAAGGCGACCCCTCGAGCCCGAAAAATCAGGCATACCTGATTTCGACCATATACAAACACTAGAACCAAGACATGGAGAATCGAAAGATTGGAAGTTGTATGTGTATCATAAAAGAAATGTATCCATAATTTCATCAACAATACTTATAGGAAATTTTTTACAATAAGAATGGGCCAAGAAAGAAAAGAAAGAAAGAAAGAAAGAAAGAATGAGCTATTCTCCCGTACATGATCCGGCGCTATTCTATGTTGATCAGTTTCGAGACTAATAGGTACAGTACGAGTATGTTCAACCCCGTGGGTGTTTCATATATCATTTTTACATGTCATTCTTCACTTTTCTCATAACTTTGCTGATACGTGTCGCCACTTAATAGGCCATATGGCGAGTCTATTTTTCACTAATACATTGGGGTTCCTATTAATTGCATAAATGTTGAGCAAAAGTCTAGAATTTTTAGGTATTTTGTAACTATTGACCACACAATCTTCTCTACATTTTTCGGAACACTAAGGGCAATGGGGGATGCACTCTTAGTGTTTCCTTGACAACAGCCTGAAGATATGAAAGATTTTGGATGTCTGAATCCTCAACCAGCCTGTTTAAGCCAACTACTCTGTCAATTTCTTCTTGGACTTTCTTTAATGCCTTTGGATGGTTCAGCAGCTCTGCTATTGCCCATTGGAAACCAACACTTGTTGTACCAGTTTCATTCCGCGAAGAGATCCTATTAAAAGAGGAAAAGAAAACATTATAAGGCGTTGTTTGATTGAGTATGGAGTTTAAGAAGGAAATGGACATTGACACATACCAAAAATGCCCTTAGAATTTATGTTCTTAAAGATATCATGATATTTTTACGAGCAATAAGAGTATGTCATTAAGTTAAAATGGGAAGTTTAAAGTTAAACAGTAGTAAATACTACTCTCTTCGTTCTAGTTTATGTGAACCTTTTATCTTTCGAGATTCAAACTATATAAATTTTGACCAATATTTTGAAACGCATTTTTTCATCATATTGACATAAGAAGAACTGCAAATTATAGTACTTCTCGTATAATTTTTGAATATCTAAATTTTTACTTAAAAATATCGAGTTAATCTAATTCAATTTAGCTTTAAAGATTAGTCAAATTGACTTTCGAAAAGCTTAAAGGTTCACATAAATTGAAACGGAGGAAGTAATATAAATTGGAGTAATGGGAAACAAAGAAGAGCTAGATGACATGCATATATTTTCATATCAAAATGTACTTTGGAAAAGAGAGATTAGTCTTATTATCAAGAAAAGAACCCTGATGCAATTTCTCTTATCTGCGTGCTCTCGTTGAAATTAGTTGATGTTCTTGTACTCATGCTCAGCCTGCAAATAAGATTATTTGTCATGGCCATAGGCTGAATACCAACATCACAAACCTCACCTTGTTCCCAACACTTGACGAAAAATTCCAACAGTTTCATCTTCTCCTCATTCCTAACACCAGCAAACCCCACCCCACCACCGACCCCCCAACCCCACCAACACCCGTAAAATATTTTTCAACTTACACATTTTAAGATAAAAGGTTTTTTTACGCAAGATGAGCATGGTTGTAAAACATGGGTCAAGTTGGGCAGGTTGGGTTATGACCCATTGTTTAGCCCATCTTGACCTAGCCCATCTTAGCCCAAGTACACTTTGGGCTGGGTTGGGCAATGACCCATTTATTGACCTAACACATTTTGACCCGCCGGTTAATCCGTTTTTTATCCGTATTAAATATGGGTCGGGTCGGATAATTTATCCATTCTTCATTACCCGTTTTCGACCCGAACCATATCCGACCCAACCCGCCCGTTTACCACTCCTAAAATGGCCTATGATTGGTAATGCTGGTGGGCTTGGAGGAAGCTGGATTTTATTGTGTGATCGTTGGCGCTGCTTCTTGATGTAGGATTGAAATACTAAACGGATGAAGAAAAGCAAAAGATATAAAGTTGACCTTTTATGGAAACAATTGTCATGACTGCTATTGAGATGATTTACACTCTTAACTTACTGTATTTTAATTTATAGACACAAGGCCAAAATTATTATTTTTTAACAGTTTTTTAATTTGTATCATTTTAATTTTCTATCTCACAATGTTCTTGGTCATAAAATAGGATGAGAGGAATTAATCACAAAGAAGAAGCCACAAGAAAACGATAGATTCCTTCCATGTACTAGAAAAATAGAGATGATACGATGATTAGTCTCTCATCCTTCAATGAAATTTGATTAACTATTCGGATACTAGAACCCCTTTCCTTCTCATTAGCAAAAATGGTATTACATCTCAAATCTATGACGATAAACGTGGTATTTACATTTAGGGGTGTACAAACCGAATCGAAAAACCGCACCAAATTGAAAAGTCAAACCAAACCAATTAAAAAATATGTAGAAATATTTGGGATTCTCTTGTGGAATATAAATTTTGATAGAATATGAAGTGCTCCATATTTATTGGCCTTCAATAATGGGTTGTATGATCACTTTATTATCAAGTGTTACTGAAATGTCACTATCTCTTTGTTCTTCCATATTGATATCATACGTTAAGATCTATTAAATTCTTATATCTTTTTCGAATATGAAGTGATTATTAATATTTAGGTATCATATTGATTTTTTATGTTTAATTACTAAATTCGGTTAACCTGAAAGTATATATTAACGAAAAATTTATCCTGACAATTAGAGGTTCAATTGGTAGTGCCGCCGGAACAGTGCTCCTATTCTTCAAAGCTTGATTCGGCCAATTGGCGCGTTCAAAATTATGAGAAACTTTGATAGGAGGGGTTGTGATACTTGACACGTTTTTTGGTCGTTGACATTCTGGCCAGAAGTCAGAGGCCGATTTCGCCAGAAAATCAAAGGTGGTAATACGTATATTTCTCTTGCCGGTGGTAATACGTATATTTCTCTCAGATGTATTTTCGTTGGCACATGTTTCTTGACATAGGGATGGAGATATATGATTCTAATTTTGCAAAGTGTGTTCGGAACCACCTTGAACGGCGACCAGCTTCGACTTGGAGGTTTTGGAGTGTGTAGGTCTGTGAGTTAAGACTTAAGAGAGGGAGAAGAAGATGAGAATATTTTAACAAGAAAAGGGGTGGGTTAATTAGTGGGACCTGCTGACTTGGACAAAATATTAGAGGAATTGGGTGCCACCGTGGAGGGACGTTAAGGTTGAGGGCAATTATGCAAACTTTATTAACGGTATGGATAGATTTGGACGAAAAGTATAACAGGGAACAATTATAAACTATATACTATATTAGAGAAACAAATCCGGACCTTTTCCCTTATATAATCAACCAATTAATTTCTTGTTCACTATGAGTAGGAAAGGCAGAAAGTGGAACAAAGTTAGTGCGGATTCCATGACATGGAAATTTAATTATTTAATGGAGAGATTCTATAGTAATTTCCTTGACAAACAGCATCTTTTCCTGTCCTCTATTGTTATTATTGGCAAGAAAACATACTAATATGTAATAGATCCGCAGACATTTCAAGGTGGAGCTACCACCCAAAGAATAAATGATAGAAAATAAAAATCAACTCCTGTGCATTATAGCCTACTGTGTAGGGGGGG